GTAGGCAGCACTCATTGTCAACCTGACGACACCTGTGACAACCTAGAAGGTAAGCCTCTGCGTCTGCTTGGGAAGACTGATCTGGATCAGGTTAACCGAGAAGGGGAGACCCACCCTAACTGCCACACAAATAAAAACCAGTGTTAAGGGCCAGAGAGATACTCAGTGTTTAGAGCACTGGCTGCTCTTCCAGGACCCAGGTTTAATCCCAGCATCCATATGGTGACTCACCACCATCCTAACTCCAGTTCCAAGAAAACTACTTCCCCTGGCCTACACTGTATCACATGTAGTCCACATACATACACAGAAACAAAACACTCACAGGAGCCCTCACCCCTCTGCGATGCTGTGTGACACTGTCTCACACTCCTGCTGCTATAACTTGCCACCATAATGGACTATGCCCTCAAACTGTGAGCCGAAAATAATCGCCCTCTCTCTCTCTGCTGTCCTGGACCTGCTCTGTAGACAGGCTGGCCTCTGCCTCCAGAGTGCTGGGATTGAAGGCAAAGGCGTGTGCAGCCACTGTCAGTCAAGCCTTTCTCTCCTAAATTGCTTTTGTCAGAGTATTTTATCAGAACAATGGGAAAGTAACTAATATAGTTACTAAGTTTATAAAGAAAGTATGAAAGAAAGGCTCTAATCTTTGGTTCTGTATCATTCTAAAGCACAGTCCACTGAAGGAAACCCTAAAGCAGCTGAAAGATGGCCTGGTGATGAAGAGCACTTGCTGTTCTTGCAGAGGACTGAGTTCAGTTCCAAGAGTCCACATTGGGCAGCCCACAACCATCTGTAACAACAGCTCCAGGGAACCTGACGGGTCCCTCAAAGCTCCTGTACTGAAAATGTGCTGCTGGCTGCTGGGGTTTCCAGGACTCTGGCTTCATCACTGGGTGAAGTGAATATGAACCACAGCTGACGAGGCTGTTAGAGGGCTGGAAGAAATGCGTCCAAGGGGTGTTGGGGTGCCTCTGAAGGATGGCTCTAGTCCTTGATTAGCCCTCTCCTCCCTTCCTGCTTCCTGGCCACCACGAGGAAGCAGCTTCACCCCGCATGGGCTCTCACAAACAGTAAGTTGTCATCTTTGGCATTTGTCACCATGATGAAAACATGACAATATAACCAGTGACAGCCATCTATGCACACACGAGGACCCAGGCATCAAAGCCCGCCCTCGTGCTCGGCCTGCACAGATCCACAGTGACAGGCCATACAGGAGGGTAACAGCAGCGCTAGCTAGCAGTAAGAATCAGGCTTCCACAATGTCCAAAAATACCAGGGACACAGGAGGGCCTAGGAACCAGCGAGAAGCTGAGGGAGGAGAGGCCCTACTCACCAAAGAATAAAAGCCCAGCCAGCTCTCTGCCAAAACAGCAGGGTGAGACAAACCCACAGGAGGACAGTTAATTCCTTGATAGATGTTCTAAGAACATTTGTAAACGGCCTCTTGTTTGTGAAGGGTCTGGAACAGGACCAAAACCCACAAAGTCACTAGATCTTGAAGCAGGGGAATTCCATACTAACGCAAAAGCCCTATTCAAACACAAACGTGCTCTCCCAAAAATCAGTTCTAATTACTTTTTAAGACAGGTTTTCAAAATATTTGTTTAACTTTATACTGTTTATATAAAATTAGTAATAGTTAACTCAACAGACTTTTAGCAATGCACTTTTTAAAATCCATCCTAGAGAGCTCAGCTATTCTTTAAAAAGCTTCTAAGCCCATCTACTGTGGACACATATGAGCCAACACCTTCCAAATATCACAGCCTCACCTGACCTCTGCAGGCCAAACAGCCGCTGCCCCTACGGCAGGCGTGCCACTCTGACAGCTTGTGAGCAAGAGCAGGTGTGCCTATGTTGACATAGGACATGGCAGATGAAACAGACAGGCCACACATCAGTTCACACACATGATCACATGATCACATGCTTCAGTTCACACACATGATCCTGCCTCTTTAAAAGCAAACAAGGCCCGGGGGCATGGCTGGAGGCCCAGAATTTGATCCCCAGCACTGAAAAGTAAGTGAAAGAAAAGTAAACGGAGCTCCACCTATCAGGCCCACAGCAATGGCTGGGCCTGGGGCAGCCCTGGCTATAGGCCTCTGTCATCCCACAGAAAAGCAACCCAATCATCCCTCTTGTCTGGCTTCACCAGTGTGATTTAGTAATCAGCAAGTTCCAGAAATGAGTCCTAAATTTAAATTCTATTATAGAATATTATCAAAATTTCTGGGGTGAGTTCTTTTGGTTGGTGGGTGGGTTGGATTTTTTGAGACAGGGTCTCTCATACAGCCCTGGCTGTCCTGAAACTCACTAGGAAGACCAGGCTGGCCTCACACTCTGGGATCCACTGCCTCTCAAGTGCTGGCATTAAAGGTGTGTCCCATTACACCCAGCCGATTTTTCTGTTTTACTAGGTCTTGTGATTACTGTTACAGCCCAAGGTTTCCACCATCCACCAGAAACTTGGGAAATATTCCTCAAGGACACAAGGCAACTGTACCACATTGCACACAGACTCCAGAAAACTGAGAAGAAATGTGACCCAGCAGGCAGTAAGGTCTGAGAGACATAAGGCCTGCTGTGCTTGCTCTGTCCTGGATAGACGACTTTAAAAACAACCAAACTCCTTACTTCCACTCAGCTTTCATGTGTGATCTAACATTCACAGGCAAAATTACCAGTACTTTTCCTAGGCCAACCTGTAGTCTTGAGGAACAAAGTGCCAGGCCTGTAATCCCAGCAAGTCAGCAGGCTGAGGAAACGGATCAACAGGTCAAGGCATTCCTGGGCCACAGGGGTGAGTTCGAGACCAGCCTGGTGAACTTAGCAAAATCCCGTCTAAAAAGAGCTTGGGCATAGGTGTGGCAATGTTCTGACAGCATTTACAAGGTTCTGGGTATGCAGGTATGGTGGGGGCGGGACAGCAATAATGTGTTTACAGCACAGACACAAACAAATCCTGCCTTGCTCAGAGCTCATGGTCCTGGAGCTAAGACTCTTTCCCTACCCTGCCCTCCAGACCAACAAAATCTAACCTGAAACACTACAGCTAATTGAAATTTACATTCACTAGCAAGAAACCGATTCCAGAGTGCAGTTAGTAACCTAGCTTCATTTTCTTGCACATCTAAGGTAGAAAGAAGAAAGTTAAACAGGCTGAATCTGGACCAGAGACCAGTGTAGACTCAGAGTCCGCTGTTTCTATTTCCAAGCAACATGACTCTAAGTTAACTATCACAGAATCTAGACTGGGACTAGGAGCCACATACTCACTCAGGACCAAGAGCAATGCAGGCCTGAGAGCCAGAGAAGGCAAACAGGAAACGAGAAGCAGAGGAGGGTTGGGAGGAGAGAAAGGGACGACACAGAAGGACCGGCTCTTCATGTGCAAGGCTGTCCTGCAGGTCCGAGTGCTAACCTGCTGCTTTGAGGGCCTTCCCCTACTAGAGAAGCCACCCATACTATCTGAGACGCATCTATCATGACCACTGCATATTGCAGGATACAGATATATACTGAAACACATACACATATGTTGTCTTGCTTAGTTTCCTGGTTTCTAAGCCCTTCCTCTGGGTCAGTCCTTCAACATTTAGACAGACCACCCAAGTTGGGTCATAAAGAAATTCTCTGACTTAACTTTCTCCATGATAGGTGTCAAGACCATCCTCCTTCCAGACGGGTCGGGGCTCAAGACCTTGATAAAATAATGTACACAGAGAGGCCAAGAAAGCCAAGCAGACAGGCCAGCTGGGCTTCCACGCGGGCTATCAGAGTCACACATGCTGTGACCAGGCGTCAGAGAAAGGAGACAGTGGTATTAGAGGGTGGGGTTGGAGCCTCTGGACAGCCAGCATATGGCAGCTCAGAGGAAGATGAACAAGAATCCACCATGTACTACAAAGTACCACAGGGACGAAGCTGTGCTCAAGACCCTTCAAGACTTTGCCCAGGGTCTCTTCACTGCATATTTGTGGGCTTCAAAAAGCCCTTTATAATTTTTTTTTAAGAATCCCTATTTTGAAACTACATAAAGCTAATATTGAACTAAATTCTATTGGTTCTAAGAAAATACTATCATCTCCTTTGGATCCACGTTTGCCTGGCTCTGTCCAGGAATATCTGAAAAGCTACAAGGCCCACTTGAGTCCAGTCAACAGCTCAGAGTTCAACATTTAGAGATTGTTATGTCTAGTTTCCAGCAAAGCACAGGGGTAAAAGAAAAAAAAATGTAATTCACATAATTAACTTACATAATCAATGCCTCCCATTCAAAAAAATTCTCTTCATTCATGGGGCCTGCAGGGAAAGGAAAAAATACATCTTAATTCGAAGACAGCTTTGGCAATTGGAAGAAAATCATAATGAAATTACCCAAGCCCCTTACCTGCCACAATTCCTTCTGGAGGATTCAGGGTTAATTCTAGAAAGGTAAAGAACACAGCCATTACCAAACAGAACGTGTGTTACACTGTCACTTAGCAAAGCACTTCTGTGAATCATATAAACTACAGATTACAGGGACACTTCTTCCAAGAGGGTGCCTCTTGGTCCCCAAATGAGTGCCCAGGCCTGAAACCAACAAGGCTCCCAGCAGCTCTTTCCAGCAGTAAGAGGTGGAAAGACGGACTGCCTCCCCAAAGTGCTCCTGCCAGCTCCTCTGACAAACGCTCACAGATCTAACATGGGATATTTTCTAATTAAATGGCATTTCCTAGCATTTTAAGAGTTGGCACAAACCTCTCTGAATGTGACAGAGCAGGAAGACGAAGCCAAGCTCAGACTGCAGGCAGACTGACACAATCACGACCACTCTCTAGGTCAGCGACTGACTGTGCCACCATCCTGCAGAAGCTACAATGGCAGACAAGCCCACTACAGTGTCACAGCTACTTAAGGCCCGTACCTGCTCAAGACCAGTGTCTAGCTCTGCTACCAGGTAGCATGTCAATTCTTGGCATTATGATTTTTACCTATGTCATGTTCTGGTCTGGGGTGTGTCCCTAAGAGTCAAGGGTTGAAAGCAGGGTAGCAGAAGTGGGCTAGGGAAGAATACGGCCTTTATAAGAGGTGGGGCATGAGGTAGTGTGTGACACTGGGTATGTGACCCAGAGTCGTCATAAAAGTGGGTAGCTGTTCTCTGTTTTCCTGCTCCAGGTGTGGTCGCACCCTTATGTACGATCCTACACTCAAACCACCAGTTACCACAATGTGGGCCTCCAGCTGCCTTCCCACAGACTCTGTTCTCGTACTTTGAAATCTCAAAATAGGAGTTAAAAAACAACAACAATTGAGTATCACTATGTGAAGCCTGGACTGGCCTGGGACTCATTATGTCCCAGGCTGGCCTCAAACCTGCAACTCTCCTCTGGCCTCTGCCTCCCAAACGAGAACTGTCTGTGCACACCACTGTGCCCAAGTGAACATTTCTGTTTAATAAAGTTACTCATATCAAATACTGTGGTGGTAATGACCAACAGACGAATGTAGCTTGTGGACACATTTGGACAAATGGCGAATGGAGGGAGAAGGAGCAACCTCATTAGGACAAGTCAGAACACGGGAAGAAAACCAGGGCAGAATGCACTCCGCCATGGCCACAAAAGACCTACAGAGCCAAAGGATTGTCTCAGAAAAACCAAAACATTCACAAATCTCTGCCAAGGAAGAGTAAAGCGAAAGGACCAGACACGAAGGTCGGAAACAGATCATCCAAAGAAACAGAAAGCCAGGCAGAAAGAGCGAGGTGATCAGAGTGGCTGAGATCAACATCCATCCATCCCTCAACTAGTTTCCACACACGAGCAGTCAGCATGAGAGAACATGCAGACACAGAGAGACATGGACGCTCTAACAGAACATACGAGATGAGTGAGGCTGCCTGTGATTTCACAGAACGATCAGGGCAGGGAGTACTTCCCACTGCCCCCCTGATTCCCCTGGCAGTAGATTAGACCTAAGAAGCTGCAGAAAGGTGAAATGGAAGACAAAGAAGGAGTGGGTGGGAAGAACATCCAATACGGACAGCACATCCTGCCATGGACGCATTCAGCACAGGGACTACAGCAGGCCCTGGAAGGACTCGAGTCCCACAGCATGACCTGTACAGCAATGCAGACTCCGGTGTGCACTCTGTTCACATAGAGGTAAGCAATCCATTACCACAGGCTGGGACGGCTATACTGTGGGAAAACCTACAAAGGTAAAACAACACCAGACCATCTTAGGGGCTTTTGGGAACCCAAAAAAGGAAAAGAGGGGTAAGTTGAAAGACACACAACAGAAGTCCAGCAGGGGACAGCTCTAGCTGCTAAGTCTGACGGCCTGAGTCTGATGCCCAGTGCGCACACGGTGGGAGAGAGAACTGGTTCCCTCCCACAGAAGTGGCAAGACGTGTACATCCACACCCCCAGCACACACGACGATGACTAAGGTCAATACAAATACTGGTGGGGGAAGTGGATGAGGGGCTGGAGAGACGGCTCGGTGATTAGGAGAATTCAATGCTCTTACAGGGAGGGGCCCAGGTTAGCTCCCAGTACCCACATGGCAGCTCACAACTCTGTGTAAGTCCAGTTTCAGGGGATTCAATGCCATCTTCTAGCCTCTGGGCACTGGATTTGAATGTGTACTTTAACACATGCAGGTAGACACTCCTAAGACAACAGTAAGGTTCTTTAAATGAATGAGAGCATCAAGGGAGATGGAGAAAGCCGGACAGAGAAGGACACAAGCACAGGGACAGTCAGATTAGTGCACACTTCCAGGAGGCGAGGTGGTGGATATCAGGCACCATGAAGGCGGCGAGCACACACTGGCAACACAGCTAGCCCTCCAGGGTCCCTCTGGAGCTCCCACAGGAACAGACTTACACTGTGTGATATAACACTTAACAATGGAGGCAGAGAGACTCTGAGATGTGGGGCTGGAGCAGAGGCCCGATGCTGTGAACCAAGGGCACCTACAGCAAAATGTAGCTGGGCTGTACGCTTTGTGAGAGTCTCCTTTGGACTGACCCTGGGACACTGTTCCCTCAAGACTGCAGCTGGAGACTGGCAATGGAAACGAGACTGTGCCCAGCCAGCACCATCCCACTCACTTTGCTATCCAGCAGTGACCCCTGCTGGTCAGGGACAAACTGCAGTCAACAGCAGGCGGGCTTCAGGACAATGTGCACAGGCTAACACACACAAACCACACATACAAACCACATAGTGCCACATTCAGTGATAAACACAAGTTCCAGAAGAGAAATAATTACTACCCATCTCAGAAACTTTCAAAGACCATTCCCTGAAAGTGGTGGTTATTTTTAAAAAACTATTTTTCTTAAAAGTAGCTTAAATAGCCACTGCATGAACAAAATAGAAATTGTTCTTGAACGTGGTGATTCCATTTTTAGAAGCCTTGACTGGTAAAAACAAGAAAGATGGCTGCAGAGGTTACTCCTTCAAGAAGCTGAGAAAATACGAAAGCCCGAGGTCTACAATGGGAGAACAAGCAAACTGGGGGGAGGGGGTCACATCAGCATGTTCTACACACTGCATAGGAAGCTCCTGGATTTGCTGAGGAAGCAACCAGGTGGAGAAGAAACTACATGTCAAGTAAGGTCACCAGGCCAGGTCCTAGTCCAAGCTCCCGTGTCCTCGCTGAGACCTCGGGTAAGCAGGGTCTACAGGGTGAGTTTCAAGTCAGCCAGGACTACACATAGAAAATCTGAGCTGAAAAACAAACACGGGGCTGGTGAGATGGCTGAGCGGTTGAGAGTACTGACTACTCTTCCGAAGGTCATGAGTTCGGATCCCAGCAACCACATGGTGGCTCACAACCACCCATAATGAGATCTGATGCCCTCTTAGGGTCTCTGAAGACAACAACAGTGTACTTACATATAATAAATAAGTAAAAACTTAAAAAAAAAAAAAAGAAAAACAAACACGCCGGGCAGTGGTGGCGCACGCCTTTAGTCCCAGCACTTGGGAGGCAGAGGCAGGCGGATTTCTGAGTTCGAGGCCAGCCTGGTCTACAGAATGAGTTTCAGGACAGCCAGAGATACACAGAGAAACCCTGTCTCAAAAAACAAAACAAAACAAAACAAAAACAAAAAAAACCAAAAAAACAAACAAACAAAAAAAAAACAAAACAAACACAAGAAGGGGCAGAGTGGTAGAACACCATGAGGTTGACGTGAGACTACAACTGGAGGCTCCTTTTACACTTACAACTGGGTGGTTCCTTTCACACTCACAACTGGGTAGCTCCTTTCACACTCACAACTGGGTGGCTCCTTTCACACTAACAACTGGGTGGCTCCTTTCACACTAATAACTGG